GTTAGCTTGTCACTGTCAGCCAGAGTCACCCCCGGAGACGACAAGGAGCGCGAAACCCTGGGTGCCTGGGGACTGGGGCCCCTGTGGCGCCGCCTCGTTTCTAAGCTGCTGCCCCAGACAGATTCTAATCAGTGCAATATTTATTGGATTATAAAGAATGCAACAATTCATGCCAACGCAGGAAAAAATTCAGTAGCCACAGAAAAACTGAACTGGTTTTTATATTTTCTAACAAAGATAAACCCAACCTACCCCAGAGTAGGAAAACAGTAACTTGGTGCAAAAAAATTAGTGATGTAACGAGAGTCAAGTCAAGGCGAGCGCACAGACAGGCACTCTGCACCCATCTGTGCTGGGCGGACCGGCTTCCGGGAAGGGTGCAACGTCGGCCTTTGGCGGGTTTGCAGTCTGATTGGAAGGTGAACTCAACAGGCTCCAGAGGATCGAAGAACCCCGGTCTTTTTGAAGGGGGTGTTTTCGGAGAAGCTGGGGCTCTGCAGTGCCTTCCCACAGTCACCTGAAGGCGCAGAGACGCACCGGACTGCCACCGCCATCCCTAGGAGTGAGCAGACAGCGCTGGCTGTCACTGCCCCCGTGGGAGAAATGCGGTGGTGGGGCCAGGAAAAATGGTCACGTGGTCCCCTCATCGAGCCCAAACCGGCAGAAAAGACGGGCGCACTTTGCAGCCCGCAGTTAGGTTCCAAGAAGGGGAGGGAGAAACACGCGAGCGGCCTCTGGAAGCTGCCGCTGGCCAGAAAGAGAGAGACTGGGAGGGAGAATTCAAATGTCGGCGCGGGACAGGGGACGGGGCTTCCTATATCACAAAACACATATTTTTAAAGTAAATGGAGGATTTTAAGTTTCCAGGGAAGGGCAATATTTGTGGAGCAGCAATGCCTATGAGAAGTATCTCGTGTATAATTTACTGACTGCCTTTAATATCAGTCTTGAGCAATAAAACCCCAACTGAATGTGATTCGGAACCTTACATACTTATAGGGAATGGATGAGAACTTTTAGAGGAGGAACCACTTTGAGTTTCCCACAGGAAAGATATGAAACAAGGTTAAGGCTTCATTACATCCATCAAACGAGAAATCAGGCACCACAGTGAAGGCAGGGTTCAAGACAGCAGTTAATGAGGGACTCGCTTAAATTGTGTTCATCACAAGCGCACATACATTCCACGCACAGGAATGTGGGATGTGTAGTCTTTTGTTCGTATTTTCCACTCACTGCTATGATCCAAAAAAAGAGATAGGAATAAAGGAGATTTGGGTAAAATAATGATGATTACTTACTATTAGCTTCAGTGGCACTGAAATTATTACAACTTTAATCCAAGGATATCATCCAAATGTGTTTTATAAATTTCATATATGTATCTTTTCTATAAGGTGTTGAGGCATATAATATTTCTATGATAGGAAATGTATACAATAGATATACTGGGTGTTTAATACTATAAAAAAGTTATTTTACATTCTTCTTTGTGAAGCACACAAAGTAAGGATCTTACAGAAGTAATGTAGTATATCAGAGTAAAAACTGAGATTGAAAACTTAATTTCCTTCATATTCCCAAATTTAGATTACTCTTAAAATATGTAATTGATATAATTAAGACACTACAAGAATTTTCATTTAAAATGATATTACAGTCAAAGACTGTTGAGAATTTGAATTATCACTCTACTCGATATGTCCTCCGTCACGTCTGTCACTCCTTGAATTTTCCGGCAGACATCGATGCGCGGCATCTGTCAAGCGCCCTGAGTGGCCGCGGCAGAATCCCCCGGGGCTAGACGCTGGGAAGCGCAGCTCCACAGGAAACAGTGGAGAACGAAGCGGGATGCGCAGCGTGCGTCGAGCCTCTCCCTGAGGGGTCCAAGGGGCGCGCACTAGGGACACCAGGAGTGGGACCGTCATCCTGTGGCATCGGGTAACATCAGTGCCTTCACTGACGTGAAAGCGCGGCATACGGAGTGGGAATGGGGGGGGCGACACTGGGACCTGGAGAGCTACAGAGGCATGTACAACCCTGACGGACGGGACACGCCTCAGGGCGACCTGCCGGGCCAGCCCCCGGCCCCCGCCCTGCTTCGCAACTCCCTCTACAGGCATCCTCTGCCTGGTGGGACGGCGATCTCTTCCCAGGCCTGCCTCCCAGCCAGTCTGGGGCCTTGGGCGTACCAGGCACGCCTCCCCGTCCTCAGCCTTCCCGGGACCCAGCGAGCCCCCAGCACTCCCCAGAGGCGCGGTAAACGTTTCCCACGGGTGCCCGTCCAAACCCGGGAGGGACTGTCTCCTGAGGCGCGGGATGACCGCGGCCGCTCCGTGGCACACGGAAGCTGTTCATTAAACATTTCCTCTGAGAGCGAACGTGTGAATGGGGCCGTCAGTTCACTGAGGGAGCGAATGTATTTAGATGAGAAAATGCGCAACTTTGAGTTCCGGAAAGTGCTAAAAGGTAGTACACTAGGGGATGAAAAGCAGTCAGCGCCGCGCTTGGAGAGAGAAGGCAAGGAAACGGAGAGTCAGAAGGGTGCGCTGCGGGCTCCTTTGCAGAGCACTCGGCTCGGTTTCATTCTCACTCTGACCACAGTCCTGAGAGGTTGGGGGAGGAGGCATTATTAGGTTGGTTTGTTTCTTTATATACAAAGGACAAAGCAGGGGCTCAGAGAGGTTAAGTGACTTGGAAGAGAGCATTTCCAACAGAAAGAGGTTTAACATCGTCAAATGCAGAAAACAGCGCAGGAACTGAAAAGACGTCACTGAGGCTGCCACGCAGGCCTCTGGGGTCAGTGAGGCAGGGCAGGGGCGCGTGGGGCAGGGCGGGCAGGGCGGCGCTTTGAGGGAGAGCTTTGTCAGATAAAGAAATTAAATCACACAGCATCACATGTGACCGCCACCAAGGTGTCCCCCGGGAGTCCCAGGGCGCAGGCCTCAGGAGGGGACAGGCTCTGGGCGGAAGAGGGACAGCAGGGGTGTGTCCTCCTCTCGCCCAAGCAGGCAGCTTGGCTCCATGCAATCTGCCACTGTACCTCTTCGGTGCACGCACGCCCAGTGTTCTGGCGTGGCCGTTGTTACTGTAAGACTTTAAATGCCCCTTGAGTAAACACTGGTTCCCTCCACCCCTTTCTTCAGTGTCTTCCGTGTACAACCCAGTGTGAAATACTCAGCAGGGGCGGAGGCAGGAACGGAGCCTCACGCTCCGTCAGCTTCCTCTCCTGAGCGGGCAGCCCGGCCCAGGCATGCGGGGGCAGGGCCCTGGACATGCGGGGGGTTCTGCTCGAGGGTAACTTTTCCAGGCAGTTTGTTATTCCAAGTCAGGCAGGGAGGGGACCAAGAAAAATAAAAAGGAACATTAAAAGGCCTCTTGCCTTGACTTCTCTAAATCTCAAGTGCGAAGGGGTCAGTGTTATACATTTGAAACAGCAAGAAACAGAACTAAGTTCTAGGATAAAATGCACAAGTTTAAATTCTGGGATTACTTTGTCAAATAAAAAGGAAGAGGTCAAGTTTTCTTCTACTTCATATTTGAAACACTAAATCTCTCTCTCTCTCTTTCACACACACACACACACGCTTAGCAAAATGACACCTGAGATGGCAAAAGCTGTTTTTTATGATTTCCTGAGTCACATTTACTTAGGTTTGCTTAGGAAAAGATACATTTTTCTTAATATGAGAGTTGTCAGTTGTGGACCATAAATTTAGATGGGTAAGCTCAATTACTGTTTGATAGGTGAACCATCAACAGACTTGCTGGTTAAACATGATTCAACTTTTACTCAGTTTTTGGTGATGTGAGGACCAGGAAGAACTACGATGTTTTAGGTAATAGAATGCAATTTTCACATAGCTTTTTTTCTTTTCCTTTCTGAACCCAGTTAATGAATAAACAAACCACACTGTGGCTGTGTCTGCTTGTCACATAGACATCTAGATGAAAAGTGACAAATTCAGGCCATCATCCAGCTATTTGAAAACATTTATCTTGATGACATTAAACATCTGGAAGTTTCCAGATACCAGGATGTCTGATGTCTTGCAGATAAAGTATCTGGAGGCCTGGTCAATTTTTTTTTACTTATCAGTTTCACACATTTGCATGCCGGCATCTCTCTCCATCTCAGACGCTAAGGTAATTTCAGCAAAAGGCTCAGGCAGGAGGCCGCAGACAGCAGGCATCGGGGGCCTGGATTTTTGGTTGCTGTTGCTGTTCTTGATGAATCTCTGACTAAGAGAAGCATCTTCCTTTTATTTTCCTTTCAGTAAATAAAACAGCTAACCATCATTTCAACAGCGTGTGGCAGCCGGTAAAGGGCTCACAAAATGAAGGCATTTAGGTACCAAAACCCCCATCGGCATCTGCCCAAGACCCATCGTGCGTGGGCAACATAACCCAGAATGCTCTTTGCTGATCAGCTCACCGTCCGGTTCCAACGCTACACAAAACACTGTCTTTGCTGGTCACCGTTTTTAAAGCTTTTTTTCCCCCGTCGCATACCAATTTATGCCATGCAGGTGCAATAACTCGAGTTCAAACTTCCGAATGTGACGTTTCTAGTGGCGGCGGGACACGAGGAGAGCACGAGCCACAAACTCTCTCCCTACCTACTCGGTGGCCCCGAACGGGTCCGAGTCACCGGAGACCGGCTGTTACAGCTTCTCTGTCCCACTCCCTTACTCCGAGTCTTGTGGAAGAAAAAGCCACTCTCATTGAAGAAACGAAGAGAATGTTTTAACAAAACAGAATAATATGTACTTTGATTATCGGCTCAAAAGGAAGATTAATGTTCTTTTCAAATCCCACACTTTAAAAATAATCCTGTATAATAACATTAAATACCATTTCTAAAACTCTTCAATCAAGATGGCTTGCATTCCCTACCAGAAGAAGGAAGTAAACATGAAGGCACAAAACAACTCGTTGAAAGCTGGAAACTACTAACACAGCAGACGATCACGAGACACGTCTGGCTGCCCACACGCTACCTGCGGAGTCCTGCAGGACGGAGCCGAAGGCGCTGATCACCATATCCGCTTTTAGCTGGACCCTCTGGTCCTCGTCTTCGCTCCAGTTCCCGGCTTCGTCTTGCTCCGTCCGAACAAACTGCATCGCCGCAATCCTACCGCCTTTGACTATAACCTTCCGTGGGGACAGGAAAGGCAAAAATTCACATTTTTCTTCCTTAGCAAGCTCCATCTAAAACAAAACAGAGCAGAACAAAAACTTGAAAGTGTTTGACATGGATTTTGCATTCAAATTGTACGATCTCCCCGAATCCATACCACGGCAGGTCTCCGGCTCCCCTCCCCCACCGCTCATCCCCCAGCTGTCGGTGCCCCTGGCAGTGAGGCTGATTCCAACAGAGAAAGGTGGTCCACAGGGCGAAGGGCAAAAAAGGAAAAAGAAAATAGGGAAGACCAAGGGTGAGTCCTGGATGCCCCTTTAATTTCCTACAAAATAAAAATGCATGATTTCTGGACGGCAAATGATTCCTTAAGTAACTGAAGTTATAGAACACATGCGGCCCCTGTATATACGACGCTTCCTGTAACAGCTCTGTCACATCATGTAACGCAGCGCCTCACGGCTCATCGACATAAACCAGCTCATTTTGTTCCAAAAATGTCAAGCCGTGCCGAACGTGAACGGTGACGCCACCCTGGCGGAGCGAGGACGCCAGGCGTTCACGGTCGGAGCACAGCAGCGCGCGGCTCTTCCCGCGGAGGCCGAGGCACAGCCCGCACTGGGCCGGCCGTGCGCGTCGGCCCACGGCTGGGGCGCGCCGCGGCGGCGTTTCGTCCCGCATTACTTCTGCGCATTAATACTTAGATTGCATGTATTATTGTATGTAGATAATCTTATACTTTTTGAAAAACAGCATTAAGTGGTGAAACAAAAATTGGACACTCTAAACAAAACTTTTAAAAATATGAAATAAAGATGAGCGATGACTGAATGTGTGAGAACGCATCGAGAGTATTCCCGCCGTGGCTCCGACTGCCGACACGAACAGGAAGAAGCGGCTCCCCAGCGCCTCCCAGCCCCCCTCGGAGCCCCCCTCGCACCAGGACCCGCGACCCACAGGCACACACCGCCCTTGTGCCCGCCGCCTGCAGCGCGCAGAGCGGGGCGCTGTGCATGCTGGCCCCACGGAGGTTACTCCGAATCTCTGCTTTTCAAGTTAAAGGGATGTTCTTTACTCTCCAAATAGGCCAGGTCAGACTGTCGGCCAGCAGACATAGATCCCACTGCTCCTTTCTCTTTTGCTATTAAGTAGCTAGCTTTTCCATTTTACACCGAGGAGGAAAAAATCTTAAAGATAGGGAGATCTCATTTGAACATATCTATTTATTTGGAAAGTATTGATATTGGGAAAAGAAAAACTGAGATAAGATTTATCTTAGGAAATAGAGAAATATTAGGAAACTAAAAATACAAGGTAGCTGAAGTCATCTGTCAAGTAAGGGATCTTTTCAGTTACGTGTGGACTACAGAGAAATTTAGTTTCACTATTTAAGAAATCTATCTAGTAAGACAATAACAATAATAATACTTATATAGCAAAGATTCTTCTAAGTGCTTTATGTGTAATTCCTTGTAACCTTTACACAGAAAATATGATCATTATGGATTACTTTTTGAAGTATTTGGCTTTGAACCAGCTCTTCCTCTGTCGTGGCTCAGAAGGTTGCTAACACACTAGAGTAACAGGTTTGTCACCCAAACTCCGGCGTGCCGATGCGCGCTGGCCCCACAACTGGCCCCACGCAGGGAAAAAGCACCGTTTCCTCCCTCCGGAACAGAAGCCAAGGCTCAGAGAGACCAAAGACCTATTGAAGGGTGACAGAGCTTGGCTACAGCTCTGACACAGGTGAAACAAGCCCTACGCAGTATTCATTCTGTCCAACAACGGCGATTCTGGAATATTTGAAAGAATGAGACCCTGTGTAGTTCTAGTTGCCGACTCTCACAACAAGGCTGATTGAACAGGAAAGAATCTAGTCAAAAGCAAATCAAAGGCCAAGTTTGCAGGACAGAAGTGCACCCACTGGGGAGAGTTTAGAGGTCACTATAAAATCATGAAATACAGGAGCGAGGGATGGACTTACGAACCCAATATTGTAAATGTGTTAATTAAGGTTCCTGGAGTCCAGAGAAAGGGTTAGGTTAGAACAAAGAGCACATCTCCAGAAAGTGTCTCATAGAGGCAGAGAGTCCACTGTCTCAGGATATACAGGTGGAAATTAAAATAGAATGCAAAAATTTATTTCTTAGACTGCAAACTCCTCCCCAAAACTGTTTAAGTTTGGAAAGGATATCTTATTTTAACTTTCTCACCCCATTGTCCAGAAATGATATTCAAAGATTTAACAAATAACAAGTATAAGAAGATGAACATTTGGGCAGATACCTGCCAAATCACAATCTACTCCAGCCAGTGTGCCTCAGGGATGGACATCAAGTGAACTTCAACCCTAGTGGTGTCCATCAAAATGACTGGCACATGGTAGGGAGACCTGGAATAACATTCTGTTTCCCAGGATGAATGACTCAGGAAAAGCAGGACACTCAAGTTAACAAGAGGACAACCAACTAGTAATATCCATACGGAGTCACTGGCTACTAAACACCCACCCCGAAGCAGGGGGCACTGGTCACGCAGAAGACAGGTCCCGGGACCAGAGCATCCTCCGTCGCGGTGGTGTCCTCGTCAGCTGTCACACTGCCGTGAGAAAAAGATGGACCACTGACCAGCGGTCTGACCTCATGCAGTGGGTCTGGCTATTTTGTTGTTCAAATGACTCAGCCTTCTGTGCTACGTAGCGCACAAAGGCTGCGTTAGTGCTTTTTCATACCTAACACCTGTCCACGATCATCAGTGAGCAGCACGCCTGGGTTTGGTGTATGAACACAAGTGTTCATCGCACAAATATTTATTCATTTTTCTGATGGCACCTGTTCTAGGAGGTCAGCAGGTGCATTAAACAAATAAACCTCTTGTCCTCATCTCCACCAATAACAACTTGAGGGAATAAAGGAAAAAGCATCTACCAGGTTCCATTTTTGAGGTTCAGTAAGTCAACTTGTTCCTTTCTTTTCACACTGTAGGAGGAAGTGGAAAAAATTTTCCTTAGCTTTGATTTTTACCTCCATATTCATAGACGCTATTTGGTCTATGCTGAGTGAAATAAAAATAGAGTGCTATAGCATGCGATAATGATCATCATTTTAATGATCAACTTTATGTAATGTGATGATTTGGCCTGATTAATATTACAGGCATGATACTGTGGAAATTATGAAACAACTTAAAATTTACTGTAATTAAAAGCATGATGCCAACTCATCTTTAGATTGCATACAGGCGAAGCAAGCACAGGTTATGAACTATGACGAGCAGAACTCAAAACCAGCACATACTAAATTCTAATATGCCGAAGGCTGAGAAGCAATATGAGGAGACAACATCCCTTGTAAAGACCGTCCTCTGACAGTGGACATCTAATAAGTTATCGCTTCTGTATAAACTGGGCCTCAAATATGGTATTTTCAAATCGAAATCCTTTAGTAGTCCACTTCGGCCCCTCGTCATCCTGGGGAATGTTGTATGTTACTTAATACCATTCAATTATGAAATGCCCCACAAACATTCATAGCTACTTAAGTCCCATTCATTTGCAAATTTACCCAACGTTTACGAAGTACAAAAACGGGTGCAAGGCGCACGGTTAATAAAATCATCCCTGTTTTCACGACTCTTGTAGAGGCCGACAAATCAGCAATTGCACGCAGTGCGATGGTGTCCACAGTGCACCCTGGGACACAGACCAGGGCATGCACATGGCAGCAGTGCGGGCCGGGCAAGGGCAGCGGGGAGAGGCACAGGGTAAGCTCATCTTGGAGGACAGAGAGGAGTGAGTTCCCGGCAAGTGATTCCTTCCTGGGAAGTCTGGGTGTGGGGCAGGTCCTCTCTCCTTGGCGAGGGAGGTGTAGGTGGGTAAAGGTATTGATCTCAAGAAAGCAAGCTACCAGTTAAAGCCCCTGTGGACCACGGCTGGGAAGCGAAAGCGGCATCGGGTTATCGGTGCGCTGGAGAGCCCTTCCCTGCAGGCTGCTTTGGCAAGATACACCTGTAGGCCTGGGGCTGCCCCAGTTAGCAAGCCTGGAAATGGATCCATGGGCATGGCTCTCTGAAGGGTGCTGTTCATCACGCAGTTGCCTGAGTATACACTGGGGAGGTTTTGCTAACAGAGCCTCCCCGTACGGAGTGACAGGGCGGCTGTGTGACTTAGCAACCGCCCCTGAATGCGGGGGAAGGTCCGCCCTGCCGCGGCAAGACGGACAGAGGGCTGTGTCGTGGTCCTGCAACCCCCCAAAACCCCCCACACACCAGGCGCTTTGTGTCTCCCTGTGGCCCTGAGATTACGCTAGAAACTTGATGAAGGTTACAGCTCCAACTCAGGCGAGTCTGACTCCCCAATCCAACTTCCTGGCTCCCTGTGCCACCAAAGGGAGGGAGGGGGGCCACGACAGCAGCGGCAGGCTCTGCCCATCCACGCCTGGCCCCCTCCTCCTCCCGCACTGCACAGCTCTGGACGTGCTTGGCACTTTGCGATTCGCGCAGACTCAAAGTCAGCGCTGCAACGCAGAACATATGCTTACTGCTCTCTGGACGACACAAGCTAATTCTGCGACTATCCCTTTCTCTGGCAAACCAGTTTGCTGAAACCTTGCATGCTGAGGTCCCTTATTGGTGCCTGTTACGACGTTGCAAGCCTTTGGTTTGTTTTCATACTAAGCTTTTAACACTGATGAATCTTGAAAAGAAAGGAGCTGCTCTTCATGTGAGCGGTCCACTCACGCTGGGTGAGTGCAGCTGCCCCTTCCCCGTTCTCTCGTGTCACTATGGAGCTGCAAAAGCCAGAAACGCAGCACAGGGGCTCTCGCAGAGGCAGAGCATGGCTTTGTGCAGGTATCATCAAATGCGTCTTTTCTAACAGGAAAGGGGCCTTCTCTAACACTGCTTACCTACGTGGATATTTTCTTACATCTGGCTCTTATTACTCATCTTAGATCTTGCTACAGTCAAGCGTTCTTGGCTGCCATCAGAACATCTCACAAAATGACCTTCTGCACAACACCCGTGCCTTGGCAGGTATCCTGTGTGGTCTAAAACACCTTTTCATACAAGTTCT